GGAGTTCTGTTTTATTTTTTTTTTCCTCATCAGGGTAGGCGGTTTCCCTTTTCTCCACATCCTTACCAGCGTTTATAATTTGTATTCTTTTTGATGATGAAGGCTGTTCTGACAGGTGTGAGGTGATACCTCATTGTGGTTTTGAGGTGCATTTCCCTGATGCAGTAATCAGCATTTTAACATTTGATTTAATTGAAAAAAAATTTTAATTTAATTATAATTTTATGTTAGAATATGGTTGATTTATAATGTTGTGTGAGTTTCAGGTGTCCAGCAAAGTGATTCAGTTATACACATATCCATTTTTCTTTTATTTTTGGCTGCAATGCACAGCTGGTGGGATCCTAGTTCCTTGACTAGGAGTTAAACCCGGGCCCTGGGCAGTGAAAGCAGAGTCCCAGCCACTGGCCCCCCAGGGAATTCCCCACATATCCATTCTTTTACAGATTCTTTTCCTAAGTAATGGAGTTTAAAAAATCTTATTCTCTGTTGTTTTCCTGAGGTTACCTAGGCCCAAATCCAAGCTATCGATAATGTTTCTTCTAGTCTCCCCAGTTCCAACACACCACCCAGCTGCTCAAGCCAGATTCCTAGGTGTCATTCTCTGGGCCATGGGTTCTAGATCCAGGATCTGAATCTGGGATCCATAGTTTACTAGCTGTGTCACCGTGGACATATGACTCGTCCACTCGTGGCCTTTCTTTCTGTGCCTGTGAGTCTGGGATGGCAGTGTGCCCACCCCGCAGGACCGACGTGAGTGTTACACGAGATACCTCGTGTTCTGCATCGGAACAGCCTGGCCTGGAGTAAGTGGTTAGTCAGTGTTAGCCCTACGGTTATGCAGGTTTCTTCCTTTCCCTTATCCTTTAAACCCGATTTATCAGAAAGTTTACATAGGTTCTTCCTACAAAATATGTTTCACGTTTATCTACTCCTGTTTCCATTGCCATCATCTGGCTTGAAGCGTTCATAAATTCTAGTTTATACTTCCAACTGGTGTCTCTGATTCCTCTTAACTTACTCCAATCTATTTCCCTTGTTTGTTGTTCAGTCGTTCAGTCATGGCCAGCTCTTTGTGACCTCATAGACTGCAGCTCGCCAGGCTTCCCTGTCCGTCACTATCTCCTTGAGCTTGCTCAAACTCATGTCCACTGAGTCGGTGATCTACTCCAACCATCTCATCCTCTGTCACCCCCTTTTCCTCCTGCCCTCAATATTTCCCAGCATCAGGGTCTTTTCCAATGAGTTGACTCTTCGCATCAGGTGCCAAAGTATTGGAGCTTCAGCTTCAGCATCAGTCCTTCCAATGAATATTCAGAGTTGATTTCCTTTAGGATGGACTGGTTTGATCTCCCTGCTGTCCAGGGAACTCTCAAGAGTGTTCTCTAGCACCACAGTTCAAAAGCATCAAGTCTTTGGCACTCTGCTTCCTTTATGGTCCAACTCTCCTATCTGTACATGACTACTAGAAAAGCCATAGCTTTGACTATACGAACCTTTGTTGGCAAAGTGATGGAAAAATTTCCCTTATAACAGCCATATAATTTTCTAAAAGTGTAAATGAATGACCTTTTGAAAATGCTAACGAACCCCCATGGGTTTAAAACCTCGGCCTGCACATCCTGTGGTTTTGGCCCCTGCCTGCTCTTCAGTGTTGGCTCCTCCTGTGCTGTCCCTGGGTCCTTCTCCCCACTCGCCCCCGCGCCCGCTGTTCTGTGACTGCACTGTTCTCCCTCAGTTGGGGTGACCTGGGGCTGTCATGCTCAGAGGCTGCTGCGTGTGACCCTCCTTCTGCCTTCATGTATGTTTCTCTTATTTCCCAGTGCTCATCCTTCTCGTGTCTGCAGGTATTGGTTCCTCAGAGAACCTTTTCTAACCACCCCCGCCTAAATTTGGAGAAAGCGATGGCACCCCGCTCCAGGACTCTTGCCTGGAAAATCCNTGTCTGACTCTTCTGCGACCCTGTGGACTGTAGCCTACCAGGCTCCTTTGTCCATGGGATTCTCTGGGCAAGAACACTGGAGAGGGTGCCATTTCCTCCTCCAGGGGATCTTCCTGCAGAGGGTGAGGAGGTATTCGTAATCTCGCCATGGGCCTCCTCACTGCTGTCAATCATCTCTGCTCCGAAAGATAAAACGGACATCATAAAACTCCCCTCTTTGAAGAAGCTTCCTGGTTTCTGATAAAACGCTTCATGCTCCTCTCTCCTAAAGTGAAAGGTCAGTTGTTGCTCGGACACGGGAAGGAAGATGTCTCAGAATTAGAAGACGGAGATCAAGTGTGATAATATCTGTATCCTGGTTAATTTTTGAGTTCAGAGGCAGAAAGATGACTCCCTGATTGGCCTCAGTCTCATTTCTTTGTGTTTTGAAATTGCTACCTTATTACTTATGTTTCATTAATTCTAGACCAGAGAAAGGAGGCACTCCTGAGTTTTGGCAGCTGCTTAAAGCAGCCAGGGGAGAAGGAAATGGCAACCCACTCCAGTATTCTTGCCTGGAGAATCCTGTGGACAGAGGGGCCGGGTGGGCTGCTGTCCATGGGGTCGCACAGAGTCAGACGTGACTGAAACGACTTTGCATGCATGCATGCATGCATAAAGCAGCCAGGAGGAGAATGGTGGGATTGAGAATCATGATGTGAACCACTTTCAGTCACCTTGTAATTTTTCTTTCAAATAAGGGACATTTAGGATTCCAGAGAACATGGGGACAGTTGCTTAAATTTAGGATAACAAGTGTAAGTGGGATGCTTGGTACTCCTATTTGCCTAAATTTAGGCAAAAGAGACCCAAATGTGGTCTCTTGGGGAAAGACTACTTTTTGTTGACATTCTTTAGCAGAACCCATTCACAGAAATATTCCTGCTATGGGCATTCCTGTTGTGGGCTGTGGGTGATGATAATCATTTGGAAAATGATGTATCTAAAAATAAAATATAGTTTTCTCATTGTAAATAAGTTACTAATAACATAAACTTAATTTAAAAAAATTCTACCATAATTATACCCTCCCAATCAAGCCTAGACTTTTCAAATTTCTCTTGTTCCCCTATAGATGTTTATGTGTTTCTCTTTTTATATGGTTGTAACCTTGCTTGTTTCTGATTTATGTCCCATTATGTTTTTCATGTTTCATTTTTAATGGCCATATAGTATTCTATCAGTGGATCTGTCATAACCATTCTCTCGTTGGCTGATTTGCTTTGTGATGTATATTTTATGATGTATTTTTAATGATGTCTTTGTTTTGCTCTAATTTTGCAGGCAGAGACATTTGTTTGGGTTAACAATGCATCAGCACATTCCCAGAGTGTTGCCAAGGCCAAATACGAATTTTTATTTGGCAGATCTGAAGAGAAAACTCCAGATACTAGTAAGTGTCTCCCTGCCTTCCTCTTTCAGGTAACAGATAGGAAGAGAGATTAAAATTTCAAATCTCAGAAGCTGAGAATTCTTCAAACAAAAAGTGACTTGAAATTACCTACCACAGGCTACTAGAATCACATCCTGTATTTCTGAATTCTACACTTGGAAAGATGTAGAATTATTTGATGAATAATGAAAGCAAACAGGTTTCACAGAGGCAGGAAGGCAGTGGTGCAGATAGAGAAGTGCTCACTCAGTCGTTGATGGAGAGGTATTAGTTCTGGGAGCGAGGCAGGGAAGGAGTACTGCATGCAGTTAAGACCCCGGGCTCTTTAGAGCGACTTCTTCAGTGTGAACCTAGCCTGTAGCTTATGAGATGCATGGTCCTGAGTGAATTGTCTAAACTCTTTTTGCCTCAGTTTTCTCAACTGTCAAATGGGATTATAGTGACACATATCTTAGAATCCTTCTGAGGATTAAGTAGATAGATGTATGGGAAGATCTCAGAACAGTGCTTGGGATGTAATAAACGCTTTACAAGTATTTACTGCCATTCTTATTTATTGTGATCATCATCATATTCCTGACCTTTGAAGCTGATGTCTAAACTTTCTCTAAAGAAAGTACATTCCTTACTTTCCTCAGCTCCATCACTGTCTGACACTGATTTCTGTTTTGGGTAGACAGGGAATCTGACCTAATGTAGCTGTTGTTCAGTTGAAGAAGTCAAATGATAGCTATTCATTTTGACTCATATGTTAGATAAGATAATATAATGGGGAATATCCTTAATATCTGGGGATAGCAAGAATGCAGTGTATATTAATAATTCCTTTTACCTTAATAATGAATATTTCTTAGATATTTCAGTAGTTGGAGACTCTTAATGAAGTCTTAAACAGCTAAATTATTTTAAAAAATCATTCTTCTTTTATTATGTAGCATAAATACTACTATTCTAGGCTTGAGGTTTGGGATACTTAATCATTTATTCATTATTTCTCAGATGGGAAATACTGATTGTGATCACTCCAAGACTGTTTAAAACGCCTTTTTGGCATAGCCTTAACTTTGTGATTTTGTGCTGACTAAGTTTTTTCTCTTTTTAACTTTGATAAAACATGATTTTTACTTCACTATATAGAGGTAATGTCAGAGCTCTACATAGTCCTTTGACTTATTGGTGGGTGAGTTTGGGTCTTCCTTACTCATAAGTTTTGAGTAGTTTTCCCAGTTTACCACTGGTGAATCAAAATGATATTTTAAAACTTCTGTTCCTTATTTGCCTTGGTAAAAATGGTTGGTACTGTTAGTTTCTAGTGTGGTGTTATTTTGCAGAGGTGTTAGTGTGCATGCATTTATTAAACAAATCTATGTAATGAACAGTCCTTTTGTGCTAGTCACCTGTGCTGGGCACTGTCAGGATGCAGAGAAATAGAAGACAGTCCTTGCCCCCTGGGGGCTAATTCTTTGTTCAGAGCGAGGCAGTGATCACTTCGGCTGTGCTGGTGATGGCTTCATGGAATAGGTGGAAGCTGCACTGTTCTCCAAGAATGACTAGTGTTCTGGTTAATAGAGGTTTGGGGGATGGCACTTCAGACTGGGGGAATGATGTGAGCGAGGGTGTGCTGGCAGAACATACAGATTGTTTGCAGAACAGGGAGGAAACTGGCCAGGTTGGTTTGCAAAAGCTTATCAGTGAGAGAGAGATTTAGAAAAATAACCATTTAGAGAGGGGCAGAATCATGGAGAGTGAAGAGTTTGCATTTCATTTTGGTATGCAGAGACAAAATGCCAAGTACTGTTTTAGAGAGATAAATCCAGTGATTGATCTGGAAATTGGAAGGGGCAGCAGAAATTGTTGCTTATTGTAGCAGGGGTGTAAGATGCAAGTTTATGTTGACTTTTGTTTTTTTTTTCTTTTAGTAGAATTTTAATATAGAATGAAAAAGAAAACAAACCCAAAACCCTAACAGGTTAAAACAAGTCAAACAACCATTCTACACAGATAAAACCTTCACAAAGGTCAACTGAAGTAATCCAGAGCTAAAACTGAATTGTGCAGATTTTCAGTGAAGTCACCAGTCACATAACATAAATTATTTACACACTTGCAAGCCCTCTAAGAAACGTGCCCCAAGAAGCATTAACCTTTGTTTTTCTCGTGTGCCATCCTAAAGACTTGCACATTGTTATTTTTCAGAGAATCTAACATTTTCAATAGAGAATGTTCTCTACCAAGTGGTAATGCTTTGGTACTATTCATATAGGATTGCTTATTCTAAAGACTTGACATTTCCCCAAGAGGAACTTTGATTCTGCTTTAAGTTTTGATTCTGCTTTTTAAGTTTCATATAAATTAAAATCTGTATCAAATATCAATATGGAGTGAGGTGACACAGGATGCAACATATACAGTCAAGTTACCTTTGCCTATTTAGAAATTACTCCTTCAAGATATTTGCACCAGAGAGCTGTCTGTCCTGCTTAATATTCAGTAGTACAGGTTTGAATCACCAGAACCTTGGCAAGACCTTAATATTTCAGTTATTAACAACTACCTCTAGGGGCAAGTCCATGTTTACTGAGTTATGACAAATTTATTATAACGAAGGAAAACAAGTGTAGCCAGCCATCTTAAAAAATGCCCCAACCACTGCTTCTCAAAATAGAAAGACTAAAACTACATACGTTTATCATACAACAAATCCCATCTCTGTCCCCTGAAAATTCCCCTAATTTCATTCATTAGAAGGGGATTTTTAAAAAAGACTTAAAGAGCACTTTACAGCAGCATTCAGCTTTCCTATGAAATACTCAGCATCTTAAATATTATGTACACTTCTTTTTTATCTCTTAGTAAGCTTCACTGGCTTCAGAGTTTGTGGAACTGGAGGAAAAATAACCCATTCAAAACTATTCTACAAATCCATCTTTTGGCAGAATAGCAGGTATCCAAATTAAAAATAGGAGGGTCATTTTGTTGCTTTGTTTTCCAAAATTTAAATCATTTTTGCTCCCCTTCTACATAAAGCTTAGTCACCACTCCTGAGTGGAGATGGGCAGAGGCTCTGGCCCCTGCTCCTCCGGCTTCTCAGCAGCTGCTTTCTTATTGCTGCAGCAAGGTTTGAATAGATGTGTGTCGATGAGGACTTCCCCAAAACGGCCTTTATAGATAATGCCACAGCATATTTTCTGTCTTTTCCAGTACGTGAGATCTAAAAAGGAAAACACTGGCGTTCTGTTGGAGCCAGAAGCCATCTCTGTATCTGAGCCATCATCTGACTGGTTACTGTAACAGGGAGACTGAGCTGGAGAGGCACTTGAGGTTGTACTGTGAGCATCAGAATTGTGGCCTTTCAATTCCTTCTGCAGTTTACTGATCTGGTTACTTTTTATCCTGTTTCCAGATAGAGTTTTCACTTTCTTTGGTTTCAGTGTAGTCTTTAGACTGGGTCCTGCCCTTGCATCTACCACATGATTCCAGTTTTTTTTTGATCCTGCTGGCAATTTCTTCCATCTTTTCACAAGCAGGACACAGGCATTACAGATATCTCCTGAACGAGTCTCATGTAACCCAAAGCAGCTCTGGAAATCCTTTTCATAGCGCTTACTGTCAGTGAATCGAGAACTGGAGGATTTAGCTCTGCAAATACAGCAGCCCTCTATACTTCGGTACATCTTTGGCTTGTGAAAACCAAACATCTTTTCTTCTGGGCAATAGCCTTCCAAAAGCAGCCGTTTCACGCGCAATAACGATCCCGAGGGGCGCAGGGCACGCTAAGTCAACCCCCCCTTCAATCGCTCCCTCCTCCTCAACAGCCTTGTCTAGAAAGATTGTCTCCTGCAGTTCTGCAGTTGCTACCGCTGGCCGGGAAGGTGTAGATTCCGCTTTCCCTCTGCGCATGCGCGGCTCCCGGTCTTATGTTGACTTTTGAAAAGTACTTTAAAAAATCTTCGGAAAGAAATGGTGCCTTTTTATCACTTTAAGAATACTCTTGAAGTTTCTTTATATTGACCATTCATCTATCATCAAAACATGGCCCAAACTCAAAAGAACATAGGGGGCCTTTCTTGGTGGTCCAGTGGTTGAGACCCTACCTGCCAATGCATGGGGCATGGATTTCACTCTCTGGTCTGGGAAGATCCCACATGCTGCAAGAGTTGCTAAGCCCGTGTACCACAACTGAACTTACATGCTGCAACTACTGAAGCCCACGCACCTTCGAGCCCAAGCTCTGCAACGAGAGGAGCCACTGCAGTAAGAAGGCTGTGCACCACAGCTAGAGAGCAACCCCTGCTTGCAGCAGTGACAACCCAGAGCAGCCACAAATAAATTAAAACAATTATTTAAAAGACCATAGGGAAAAGTAGTAGACAGAATAAGACAGTGATTTTATTTGAATTTGGTTGATAGGCATACCTTTTCCCTCTTGTTTTTGTTTTTCCAAGTGGATTAAATAAGTGGCTGAAACTGTCTAAGTGCTGCAGAAGCAACCTGCTGGGGAAATGGAAACACTGACAGTGCCTGCTGAATGCATCTCCCGTATCACTCAGGTGGTCGCCGGTAGTGATGCAGCCAGGTCAGGGGGGGTCTGTTGGTTCAGGACCCCGGTGAGGCCCAAGGGAAGTGTCCCTGCTCTAGGGACAGGAGGCTGAGGCTTTGTCACTCAGCCGGGAGCTCACGTGGGCTGTGGGTGGGAGGGTCCAGAGAAGACAGTTTAAGACAGTTTGCACAGTGTTGCTTATTGCAGAGGTTTTGAATCTGTGACAAGAGTTTAGGGTGCTGGATGGGGTATGGGAGAATGTGTGAACAGTGGGAGGAGTCCCTTGGCCAAGAATTAAGATCTGGATTCTGTGATCTGTTTATCAATATAGTGAAGAAGAGAGTTGATTTTGCTTCTCTGGTGCCTGTTCCCTGCTGCTTTCTGTGAGCTGTCACAACTTCATGAGCTTTTCAAGGGCGAGTCCAGAGTTGATGATTGCTGAGAGGCTGATGATTGCACGTGACATCCTTTGTGCTGTGGCTTAATGAGGGGTTGGGGGGTCACCAGAGGTTCCCCTGCTTCTATTCCCATCAGCTGTTGGGATGTTTGTGGATCTGCACTGAGCTGCAAGGAGAGAAGAAAGAGGCGGCGCCTCCCGCGCCCCCCAGTCTTCCCCGGCATCGCTCGTCTTCTCTTACTGGATGCGGGGGCTTCTCTCAGCTGGCCACACGGGGTCCACTCTGACAGAAGGGGCTTCATTTTGGGAAAGTGCATTCTTTGAAGTGTTCCTGAAGCGGTTTCAGAGGGCTGAGGTCGGTCAGTCTTTTGGGGGAAAACCAGAGGGAGGAGATGCTTGAGAAGGTCTCTGAAGAAAAGTGAGACTGCTCTTGGCCTGGGGGAGGACAAGTGACTCATGGAAGCATATGAGGAAGCGAGGGGCCTGTGAGATGCTGAGAACTGAAGCGTCCAGCAGTTAGGAGGTGACCGAATGCAGTAAAATAGAGACATAGATGTGTCCGCGTTTCGATATCTCTGTCTGTGGGTGTCAGATATGGGCGTGTGTGTATGTATAAAGATGTTTAGGTCAACAGCACGATCTGAAATGATCATGACTGTTGAAGTCACTCGGAGTAGATAGCTGCTGACCTCTTCCTGTGGGGTTTGCCTGCCCTGTGTCCCTACCCCCCTGGCACCCACTTGGGACTTTTGTCACTGTGATGGGACAGTAACTTCGTCTCTCAAGCTAAAATTCAGTGTGTATTTACTGTTAAGTGAGGATGTTTTTATGGGCAGTGGGGGGAGGTATTTAATTCAAGGACTAGCATGCCTTGAGCAACAAGGTATGGTTTAAAAAATGTGAGGGCTTCCCAGGTAGCTCAAACGGTAAACAATCTGCCTGTAATGCGCTAGACCTGGGTTCATTCCCTCTGTCAGGAAGATCCCCTGGAGAAGGGAATGGCAACCCATTCCAATATCCTTGCCTAGAAAATCCCATGGACAGAGGAGCCTGGCGGGCTGCAGTCCATGGGGTCGCACAGAGTTGGAAGTGACTGAGTGACTAACACACACACACAATGTGATGAAATCAGGGATCCAGCTGCCACTGTTCACCTGCTTCTTTGGACTCCAGCATTAGGCATGAGTGAGGCTGGGAGGCTGCTTGGGACGGCAGCAGGCCTGGCCAGCTGGAGCTGGACCTGGCTCCCCTTTGTTCCTTCTTGGGCTGTCCTGCACCCAAGGGTGCGACAGGTTCTCTGGCACAAGTGATCTTGAAAGTCGCTCAGTCGTGTCCGACTCTTTGTGACCCCACGGACTATACAGTCCATGGAATTCTCCAGGCCAGAATACTGGAGTGGGTAGCCTTTCCCTTCTCCAGGGGATCTTCCCGACCCAGGAATCAAACCAGGGTCTCCCACATTGTAGGTGGATTCTTTACCAGCTGAGCCACAAGGGAAGCCCTTGAAGATTTTCAAAGGTGGACAATATTTTGATATTGTTTTATCCTAATTATAGATACCACATGGCAGATTTCTAGGTTTTTCTTCCATTAGTTTATATACGTTTTCCTGAAAGCTTGGAAAGAAGTTCAAGTACAAAACTGTCATGTCTGAGTTCTGTTAATAGTTAAACAACACCTCCCTCTGCTGGATAGAGTATGTAACACATTTTAGTAGCAGTTCTCAAATTGTCATGTGCTGTTTGCTTATCCTGCTGCAGCTTTCTTTCAGATTTGTTCTAGAGGTCAATTAGTATGCCTTTGTTCTTTCTGCTTAATCTAATCTGAAGGTTTATAAAAAGTCCAATGGTGTACAAATATACCTTAAATATATGGTATTTTAATCTCATTATGATGTTACAAAATTAAAGATTTGGCATTTTCATGATAAAAACATTCATGTTTTTGAAATAGAGATATTAACCAGCTATATTGTCAGATGGACACGCTCTGATAATAATAATGCTTGAATATAAGATGCATTAAATAATATATGAAAGCGAGTCTGGTCTTTTTCCCTCATACAAATTTTGCAAAAACTTTTGAAGAACTCAGTACTATTGTCATAATTGAAAGACTAATATGGAAGATCCTAAATTGGCTATTTCTGATAACTTTTTAAGTGTTGCCTTGTTTTGTCTTGTGTTTAATTATGACTGGCAAAGTGAATGGGATATTTTTCTTAATTTTTTGGTTCAGTTTTGAGCTCTGTGTTTTATATGTGTATGTTGTGTGTGTGCTCAGTCACTCATTCATGTCTGACTATTTGTGATCTCATGGGCTGTAGCCATGCTCCTCTTTCCATGAGATTTCCCAGGCAAGAATACTGGAGTGGGTTGCCATTTCCTTCTCCAGGGGATCTTACTGACCCAGGGATTGAACCTGCATCTCCTGCGTTGGAGGGTGGATTCTTTACCACTGAACCACCTGGGAACAAATGCCTATTATGTAAAAGATACTTTGCTAGGAAATTTTATATTGGTTGTTCTTTAATCCTCAGAAGAGTCCTCTGATGCTAGTTCTCCAACCCCCTTTATTTCACAGATGAGGCTCAGTGAGGTTTAAATAATTTAACCTCAGGAAACACGTAAGTCATGGAACTGGCATGTCTGTTTGAGCATAACTTCAGAGCCCATGTCTTCCCACCCCATCCTCTAGCGTCACAGAGAATCAGAGTGTGATGTCCCTGTACCCCAGTTGCTAGCCTAGTGACTTCAGATGAAAGTGGACTGTGATTCTGACTTTGTCATTAATCAGTAATATGATATTGAGTAACTGACTCTTCTGGCTTCACTGTTTAAAAAATCTTTAAACCATGGTCTTTGTGTTTCCCTGAGCATTGGGAAATGAGGTGATGGTGGTATGAATCCCTGCCCTACTCCAGTTAACCAAAGGCACCCCCTCTTTTAAAAAAAATGTTTATTTTTGACTGCGCTGGGCCTTCGTTGCTGTGCAAAGGCTCTCTCTGGTTGCTGTGAAGGAGGCTGCTCTCTAGTTGCAGCGCTTGGGCTTCTCATTGACGTGGCTTCTCTCGTTGCGGAGCACGGGCTCTAGAGTGCAGGCTTCAGTAATTGCGGCACACCGGCTTAGTTGCCCCACAGCATATGGAATCTTTCCCAAACCAGGGGTAGAACTCACATCCCCTGCACTGGCTCATGGATTCTCAAATCACCGGCCCACAGGGAAGGCCAGCACCCCCTCTTTTACCTGTTTTACATATTGGGCTTCTATGGTGACATCATTTTGAAGGCACAGTTTTTCTGCTTAAAAAATTGTAGCTATTGGTTGATAGGATTTCCCGCTCACTCTTTCCTTAGGGATGTCGATCAGCACAACAGCTCCTTGTAGTTTCCTCTGGCAGGGAAAGCAGGCGTGGCCTGAAGCACTGAATTGCTTAGTACCTGCTCCTTTCGCTTGGCAGCATTAGGACAATGAAGTTGGAGGAAAGCAGACTCTAAATGAGCAAGGTACTGAAATATCTACATTTTTTACCCACTGTAATCAGGGCACCCAGCCTGCCTCCTTTCTTTGCAGTGTAATTTTCAACAACCCACTTCCCACATTTCAGCAGAGGGAAATTAAAATGCGAGGAAGATGACAGAAGTAAAAAATACATAAAACACTGAAACATAAATTAAAACAGCTATTTGCATTCAACATTGTAGAATTAGAGAAGGTTTCTTGGCAAGATGCAGGGTAACAGTGAGCAAGACCCAACACCCTTTTCCAGGGCTGCCTTGTCTGTGCCTTCCCCAAACATTTCTTTTCCTTATGCTCTTCATATATTGCAGTTTGCCATCAGGCTTGGTTCACTGATAAGACAGTGGTGTCCTTGAGGCCAGGGTCAACTCTTAAACTTTTATTTCCATGCATCAGGAACATTGCAAACTACTTTAAAAAATGTTTCTATTGGTTAAAAGGGGAATAGGGACCACTCAGCGCATAGCCCAGCTGAACCAGGAAGAGCAGTTTAGAGAGCTACTCCTTCCAATGATGGATTGTTAAACATCTTAAGTATGGCCCCTCAGTTGTCCCTGGAACAGTTGTGTGGTGAACTCTGAGTTAGTCCTGTCAAAATGAATA